TATATATATATTTCAAGTCATGCGCTTAAATTTAAATTTAAACAATTTATAGAGAGGATATAGATAACAGTTTAAAAAAAAGTCACTTGGTACTTTTAGGACAAAATCTAAAAATATTTAGAAAAAATCTAATAAGAAGTAAGTCGAATCAGATTTGACCAAATTTAATTTAAAGATATAAATCAATTAAGATAACTCTTATTTTCACTGTAAATAGATTCCAAAACGTTTCAAAATAAAATTTTCTATTTTAGTAATTATTTACTAATAACATGATCAGTTTTCTTCCATTTCATTTTTATTTTATTTTTAGAAACATTATGTAGAAAAAAATGATAGTGAACCATTGTTGAAAAAAATTGAGATAAGATTTTTTTAATAAAAAAATACGACAAGAAAAATCATACTTTGAAATATGAGCAATAGAGTCAAAGTTACTATTGCAATATTTATTTATTTATTTGTATTGTATTAGAATGAGTACGGTAAAAATGGATACTAAATTTAAACAAGCTAATGAAAAGCCACAAGACAGTGTAATAATTTTAAGTATTGAATAATATAATAGCAAAACTAAGGAATAAATAGAGAAAAAAATCAAAAAAATTCATCATACAAAAGAAGTAGGGTAAAACTTATTTAAATTTGAGATGGAAAATTTCGTTTAAGTATGATAAGAAATGACATGCATGTGGATAAGGCCACATAACTAAAGTCTAATAGATAAAAGAAACAATTAAAAATATTGAATAATAAAAATAAATCAGAGATAATGTGAGGTTATTTATACTAAGAATTGCTTTAGAAAATAAAATGCAGTAAATATACAATACTTAAAAATATTATTCATAAATTTAAACAATTTAAGAATTTCAATCAATAGTTAAAAAATAAAAAAATTATTTAATTCAATATAAAAAAATGACATATCTATTTATATTATATTAAACATAAGAGTGGATAAAAATATTAAATAAAATGAAATTTAATAAAAATCACATGAAAACGTTCTAGCAAAAGTAAGTAAAACAATTAAAATTCAAAAATCTATATTGAAAATAAAAGAAAAAGACTATTTGAACATGAGATTAGAAAGTTCTTAAGGTTATGATGAGACTCAAAATACGGATATGACCATAAAATTGAAGTCTTTCTATAAAAAGAAAAAGTAAATTTGTATACTAAATTGAAAATTTAAACATACTAAATAAATATCTCATGTAGGTAATTTCACTAATGATAATTAAAAGCCAAATCTGTATCTTGAAACTAAAAGAGAAAATAAAATAAATGTACGTAATACAAAAAATAGTTATAAGAAAATCAATAGATTTGAAACAATATAAAAGAATTTATGTATTAATTTTTAGACTGATTCAAAGTTATATTTTAAAATAAAATGTGATATTATTTTGAGTGTAGGTAAAATATTTATGTAAAAAGTTAATTAAAATTTCTTAGTAGGGAAGAGAATGTATAAAGAGGAAAACAGAGATTGTGCAAGGATACTTATATTTTTAAATTTATTTAAAAATAAATAAACTAAATTATTAAATAATACTAAAAAAATATTATTAATAGATTCAAATGATGAAAGAGATCCGAGTAAGAGGATAATAATGTAAAAATATATTAAATTTCAAGAATAAAAAAATTACATTTATTGATGATTATTATAAGGGTAATAAGCAAGACATTAAGTCAATTTATAAGCTAATAAAAGATCACATTATATTATAACAACATTAAGTAATAAATAATGCAAAACCTATAAGCAAAGAACAAAAAAGAGAAAAAAAATCTGTCGTAAAATATAGAAGGATAAGACTTATTTGAATTTGAGATAAAAAATAAAGTGTTAGTAAAACTTTTCTTAAAATAACGTTACATGTTTAGTATTATTTTATATTGACCGTAAAATATAACACTTAGTGTCAAATTCAAGGGGTTAGATTATTACGGATATGGAAAAAGAAAACAGGTCATTCACTATGAGATTTGAAAAATTGATTTCATGTTCTGCTTCTCATAATATCAAATAATTATTTATAATTTCTATATAGAAGGTTCAATTTTAAGGTTATTTGTACTTAATCCAAATAACACAAATACCAATACTAATTTTTATTTAAAAAGAGAAAAAAATTTAAAGTGTGTTTCAAAAAAGGCTATTTTTTCTAATTCAACCCCAGTAATTATCAATGTATTACTCGAATATCTGTGGGGAAAAAAAAAGTATTACTCGAATATCTTCTTTTTCTTTTACCCACTTGCCAACTGTTCTTACCAGGCTACACGTGGGCAATTGTGAGACCCGCAGAACTGCGAATTTCTTGTGTGTTTTGCCTTTCTTTGTTCGTCGACGGAGTCTCCCGCAGTCCCCAAATCCCCAAATGTGGAAATTCAGAGAAAATTCAAAGTGCCGATGACTATGTTCACCTGAATTTGAATTCCCCTCAATTGATACAAATTCACAATTCAAACCAATAAACAATGGCGGAAATTCCATCTTCTTCCCCCAAAACAATCGAATTACCTATGAACCGTATAATCAACCCTGCAAACCTAGTCGCCGCAGCAGCATCGTCGACGGCGTCGTCCGATCCCGGAATCACCATGACTTCTCCTTCTAACAACAACAATTCTATCTCACAATCTCCTTCGATTGAGATGCAGTCTCAACAAATGCAGCAACAGCAAATTCAGATGCAGCCTCAACAAATGCAGCAACAGCAATTGACACAATCTCAACAACAACAGCAGCAGCAACAGCAACAGCAACAAATGCAGCTTCAGCAGCAGAATAATAATAATTCTACTAGTCTTAACGGCAGTAATAATAACAACTTAATGGCCGCCGCCTCTAATTTTCAGATGCAGAGATCACCTTCCATGTCGAGGTTAAGTCAATTCCAAATGCAACAGCAGCAACAGCAATATGGTTTGATGAGGCAGCAATCAGGAGGAGGAGGGCTTTATGGTCAAATGAATTTTGGTTCCGGTGGTACTGCCCTCCAGCAACAGCAATTACAGCAACAACAATTGCAGCAGCAACAGCAGCAACAGCAACAGCAACAGCAACAACAGAATCAACAACAGCAGCAGCAAATAGGAGGCCAAATGGGTAGCGGAAATTTAACTAGGGCAGCCTTAATGGGACAGACTGGCCATCTTCCCATGTTGCCCGGACAGGCTGCTGCAGCTGCTGCTGTCGCTCAGTTCAATTTGCAATCTCAATTTTTGAATCCGGTACCACTTCAGCACTTATAGCTTTCAAATTTCAGTTTTATGTTTTGCTAATTCTATTCTTGAGCCATTAAATGCATGAATTTGGTTTGACCATGTACTTGTTGAAGACACAATTAAGTAAATAAAAGTGTGCTATCTCTAAAAGCTTAAGCTTTTAGATGAGATAGTCCATTCCAACATGGTGGTGTTATTTTCAAGACACAACTGCTATTTGTCATTGTTGCTTTATGTGTTTCTGAAAAGAGTTCTATTGTGGGTGCAGCCACGGCAGAAGGCAGGTCTAATGCAGGGGAATCAGTTTCACACAGGGAATTCCCATGGCCAGTCCTTGCAGGGTATACAGGCAATGGGAATGATGGGATCTCTCAACATGAGCTCTCAGTTAAGGGCAAATGGTGCCCTTGCATATGCACACCAAAGGGTCAATCAAAATCAGTTGAGGCAGCAGTTGTCCCAGCAAAATCCTCTCACCACTACTCAGGTGCCAATCTTCGAACATGCTAGTAACATGTCTTTAATGCTAAAAACTAACCCTCTCATCTATTCTGATGAGTTTTCCACTTGACACCGTGGTAAAAATTGGAGACGACTCTTTCAGAAATCTAGTTGCAAATTTTTCTCCAGGTTGTGTAACCCAAAAAAGTTGTCCACAGCATTTGTTCTTCAAATCATTCAGGTCATGAATTTGGTCATTAGTCATAGCAGCAAATCAAAGAGAATCTTTTGTGTTTTCATTCTCCTAGATATTTCCTATCACATGAGAGTTTGTTTCGAGATATTTCTGTAAAAGATTGCTCTGGGTAATTTCTAATGTATTTTGTTGACTAAAAGGTCTAAACTAGGATATGACTCTTGTTTATGAAATCTGATAGCCGGATACTTGGATTATGCAATCACAACAATGACACATATGCATAAGCGTGTAACGTCATTCAAAGTAACTTGGCATATAGTAAATAAATGCTGATTTTTGGCACAAGGTTCATGTTTAACTTAATTTTATCCAAAGGAAAAAAATGCTCATGTTTAACTTTGTGCTGGCATTTCATAGTATCAGGAGACAAAGAACATGAGGGCTATTGCAAGTTTTAACACATTGAGATTTATGGGATGCCCATGAATATTTTTAGTACTACTTTCTAGAGAGCCTTTAGCCTATGGTACTGTATTTTTCACTGTGCCTACCGCTTCACAAACTCTCACCCTGAGGTGGCACAAAACTTCAATGCGCGTTAAAGCTTTAGGTGGTATATGAGAATAACCTTGTAAAGACAAAAATTCCTTGTGGAAAGTTTGAATTTGATTCAAAGAAACATAGGTTTGCTGCTCTTACAGTTCTTTTGTACTACATTTCGAGCATGTGGTTCTTATCTGAACGAACAGTTTCTCATTGAGTATGCAGCTATTTCTCGGTTAG